CATAAAGGCGACTTTTATTTAAAGGTAACTGGAACAATTGATTCGGATTACGCCTTGAATTAGTTGTAATTGGTAATGAATGAGTAAGTTTTCTAATAATTCAATAGTTGCTAATATTATAAAGATTTTATTTCTTGAAAAGTTTATACAAAGTGTCACCACCACCCGAATACTAATAGTTACTAATAATAATAATTAATTAATTAATATATAAATTACAAATTACAAATTACAAATTACAAATTGCCAATTACAAATTATAAATTATAAATTACAGATTAAATTTAAAATTTTTCCAGAAAAAATAGCATTTTATCTGATAATTAATGGTGATTTTTATTAAGTAAACCGATACTGCCTGCAGTAGTCTTAGTATAATTTGATAATTGATGGGTTTGTTGCAAATGAATGTTGAAATTATTGGTAAATTATTATTATTATTATTATTATTATTATTATTATTATTATTATTATTATTAAGATTTAATGGCAGTAGTTATTATTACTCGAGGGAGACAAACTCATATATTCTATTAATAAAATCACTCAATAATATTATTAAACTTGATACTAATGTTAAAAATGGTATTAGTTCTAATTCATCTCCCACATGTTGATAAATAATCTAAACAATGTTTTAAAATAATGTTAATAGAAATTAATATTAATTCTTTCATACATAATATTTCTATTTACTTGCTACTTACTAAAATTACAAGTTGTGGTATATCTGCAATAAAAATATTAATCAAACCACCAATAATGATTAATTTTAAAGCTTTTTGATCAAATTTAGCACTGAAAATTTCTTTATCTAAAAAATTTGAATTTAATATCCTCAAGGCCTCAATATTTAACATTGATAAAATTGTCATTGCGGAAGCAAAACCTGTATGCTTATGTAACCAAATTTTAAACTTCCAATTGTCGCTGTTGCGACTTTGGTTAATAATTATTGCCGATGCCAATAATAAATTAACTCCAGCTGGTAAAGCAAGTGCCACCAAACTAATATTTTATATATATAAATATTGTGAACGTGTGGATGTGACTGTATGCGTATGTCAATAGGCATGTGAATATATTTATTTATTTACCTTGGAATTAGTAAATATCTACCATCGGGTCTAAGTATATTCTTTGTTAAAAATGCAAAATCTAATATTAAATCTACTATAATCAATGTTGTTGTAAATATAATTGTATTTCTTCCCTAATTATATCAAACAAATCAATTAGATTAATCAATCATCATCTAGATAATCAAATATGACTAAACATTTGTGCACAAGCACACATGTACCTCTTTATGTTTCCTCCGAGCATAAAAATAAAAAGCCACCAATATAAAAAACACTACTCCAACAACTATCAATGCTATTTGATTTTCTGAAAGCAATGTTGCTAACCAAATATAATAAAGTAAAAAAAAAATTATTAACATGGCTATTATAGATATTTACAAATATAATTATTAGAGAATTCTTACATATCTCATTTAGCATATTTTTCACAGATTTATCTGTTGTATCTAAAGATGTATCATTTTTTAATGGTTCTCGTTTATTGAAAATGTTCCTTTTTTGAAGATTCTTATCATCATTATTATATGATAAACATGTAGAAGATAATATTGAGAAATATGTAAATATTGAAATTATAAATTTTCTAGACAATGAATTATTTAATTTTATCAAATGGTTCATTTTTTATCAATTATTGTGATTTTTATATAAAATAAAGCAAATAATAAAGAAAGTTTAACATAAAATTCAAGTGAATAAATATATTTATTTAATATCTAATATAAACATTCAAATATTTTTGTTTTATTTCGATAAAGGAGAATAAATAAATAATTGGCTTTGGGGAGGATTAACGGATGAAAAAAATAATATATATTGAAAAAGATCGACCAAGGTTTTTTACGCGAAAACAATTAGCAGTAACGAATGAATGACAAAATTTTCTTGGCATTTGACCAATAAAGGGGAATTTTTTTTTAACTAATATAACGATAATTAATACCTTCTATTTTTAATAATTTAATTGGTATATTTATTGATCTAAAATAATATATACTAGTTAATTTCTATAAATATGTTAATATGTTTATATAAAAAATTAAATTACCATATAAATGAAAACGTAAAATAAGATTTCATACATATAATAACAATGCTCTTAATCACTCATTATCATTAATGTTCAGAGCAATATTTAATGCAGTAATTCTGACCTGTGTAGATCATAAGAACCTTCAAGCTTACCTTTCTAATATAAGCTTTCAATCAATATGGATTGGGTTAAATAGATAAAGTTTTAGAGAAGACAAAAAGGAGTGTAAAAAAAATTTTTTTTTCCATTTTAAGTTAATTGAAATCTCATGTCTCACAAAATGAAAAGGTTGGCATTCGTTTATCCTGTTTTTATTTTCATTGTTAATTCAAGATTTTGTTTTATTGATGAAACAGATAGAAGTATCTGAAACTATCTTTAACATTTTAGGTTGGCCTTTATGATTCTGTTATAATCATCACATTTTGCCAAGCTCCGATAGGTATTAGTTTCTTGGAGTTGAAAGCTAACTAACAATAAATAATAATTATAATCTTTTGAACTAAAGCTCCGAACGAGAACCAAGAAATATTAGACTCGAATAACTCGAGTTTGAGGTTACGTAAATTTTTAAATTAAGAGTCTATTTTCTTGAACTCAGCTCGAATTTGAAAATTCAAGTTTTAACTCGAACCTCTCGACTTAAAGTTACTGTTCGAATAAGGTTTGTCCGAACTAAGATTAAGCCGTATTAATATTAATATTAATATGTTGTAAAATTGAAACTATATGAAATCGAAATTTATGAAATTCTGATTGGCTAATTTGAATTTCACATGTGTGAATTGCAATTCACATAGATTTCATTTTCACGCACAACATTACAAATAATAAGGTTGAAAGAATCCTTTATTTTATTGTTGCTTAGGTTTTAAAGATGGCAAAAATAAAAAAAAATGATGCCTTAGTATTTTAGCAGTTTGAAGTTGCACCAAGCACCAGTGTCTGAAAATTCAATTAATTAATTGGTCATACTAAATTTTCAACATTAATTAAATAAATAAATTCTTTTTGAGTGCCAGGTAAAACACATATATACCTTTGAAATTTTTTATCTATTTTTACCATCATTGTTATTATTTATACCAAAAACAAAATGAACAAAACTAACTCAAAAACATTGATAACGCTTATAATAGTTCTGATAAGTTTTATTTTCATTGTTGAGTTCACAAGTCCAATTCAATCAATTGAACATTTACAGAAAAGACAAGATCTTAATTCATGATTAACCATTTTATATTAAATATTAGATTGATTTCTACTAGCACCTATATTGATTTTTAATTAAAATTATTTATTTGGTTCAGCACCACCGCCAGATCGTAACTATTATTCTATTTGGTTTCTTCATTTTTATTCTTTGAACAAAAAATAATGTTTCATTTATTTATTCTATAGCAACATCAGAAAAACCGCCAAAACGTAATTATCATTTGTTTATTTTCTTTATTTCATTTCTTTGCCAGATCCACTACCAAATCGTAGTTAACATTTGTTTGTTCTCTTCATTTCTATTCCTTAACAAAAAATTATGGTTTATTTATTTATTTTATAGCGACACCGTCACCAGATCGTAATTATCTTTCGTTTATTTTCTTCATTTTATTTTTTGAACAAAAAAATAATGCTTTATTTGTTTATTTTATAGAACCAACAGAAACACCAAATGGTAATTATCTTTCGTTTATTTTCTTCATTTTTTACTTCTTGAACAAAAAATGATGTTTTATTTATTTATTTTATAGTACTGTTACCAAAATGAAAAATTCGGCCATTTCACCAAAAATTTATTTTTAATAACTTTTGTCTAAAAATTTTTGGGGTTCAAAACAATCAAATTTTCGTGTAACAAATTTTCGGGGGTCATTTTCTCAAAAAAGTTTAACCATATTTTGCTGGAAATCCCCCCATATATAATAATTACTTATTTTGATCTAAAGCTTCAGTATTTTCTTCCAAATTATTGTCAACTTCCAAATTGTCATCACTATAATTATTCTTTTATTGTATAAAATAAAGAATATAAATTTACAAAAATCAAAACAAATAAAAAAAAGGAACATATAAGTAGAAAACTTGTCAGATCTTACTTTGACATAATTGTCTATGCTTTGATTATGATGTTTTTTAAATTTTCTAATATATTTATTTTCATTACCAAGTGCCTCTTTTGCAATACTTGTTGATATATTATGATTTATGTTTAATTGGTTTATGATATTTTCTATGATTTCTTCCTAATTTTTCATGTCATGGGGAAAAAAAAGTCAAAGTTTCATTAAATAAAATAATTAGTTTGATATTCAAAGAGAATGTAATTTACTTACAGATTCAGTGTATCTATTTCTTCAAGTATGGAAATTAATGTGATAGGGAATGCTTTATTAATACCATTATTTTTTAATAACTAGAGTAACAATGAGTGGTGGGCAATAACCACCACCACCATCCTTATTCTTAAAACACTTATCCAGCCAATGCATTTCCATGATAATTTTCTCAATTTCTTCCACTTCTTGCTTTTGCATCTTTTGGCATTTTTACAAAAATAAAAGAAGTTTGTGATTTGATCGACATGTACACATTAATTACTTATCCTATTGGTTTTTTTTGGTAGGACAGACATGAATTGGTTGTTTTTTTTTTTTTTTTGGAAAAACAAAAAACAAATTATTTTTTGACAGTGTCCAAGGTGACAAAACGTGAGTGTTGTTGTTTGGTTTGGCTTTGGTCTCCTAAAGAAACGTGTTAATAACTAACCAGAGGTACTACTTTTTATTTGTATTGACATGTATGAGGTGTCTTTTATTTAACATATATAAAAGAAGAAAAGGTTGCCATGTTATGGTGCCCTACTAAATGTTGTAATTTTTGTGTAGATTTTTTATATTTTGTATGTTTCCCTAATCTAATGACTTTGCTCAATTTTGAAATGATTGGTTGCATGGGAAATAATTCATTTTTAAAGAATATTCTGTTCTGTTCAGTTCAGTTATGATATGAATCAGCACAGATCAGCATGAATATTCTAAACATCCTGTTTCTCAATTTTAGTAAACTGAATTTTTGGGGAAGGATGAGATCAAAATCAAAGGGTAAAACTTTGTGATGAGTCGTTTTTTTTTTTCTGGCTTGAAATGGTTTGCAAATTGATTTGAAATTTGTTAATTAATAAAATTGAAATTTGAACAGAAATATTTTCATTTTCCAAAAAAATGATAAATGGTTGTGGTTATTTTACATAACCATATTGTGTGAATCCCAATTGTTATCTGCTTGTCATGATTTGTGAAACTGAAAAACTTATCTGTTTTGGTTCAAAATGTCAGGGTTGAGCAAAACAGATATTTGACCAAAAGGAAATCATGTTTAGATGTTTTTTGCGTGGTGTTGACTGCTGTCTACCATTAGGTCTTCATCTTGGAACCTTTACCTCAGATCATCAAAGGCTTGTTGCACAACATGTTAGTGATATTTTCTGGTCACAAGACTGGGTTTCAAAAAAGTTTTATTTCATTTTGTCAATTTAAAAAAAAAAGATTGATAAACAAAACAATATGTGCAAATTTTTTTTGATTGTTCATGTTGAATTAAAATTTTTTCTTGGATTTTGACCATTTGAGAGAGATAGTGGGTGATCTGGGTAAGAAAAAACTTTGATTTTGACCATTTGAAGGATAGTGGATGATCTGATTTCCTTTTAGAGAAAACAATAAAATTGTTGATTAATGAAAAAATTTCCTTTCAGGAAAAATGAATAAAATATGAAAAAAAAAAGCTTGGTTGATTTTTTTTAAAACAATCGAAATTTGTAAATGATTTTTGATGTTTGCATGAAGCTTATTCTTCAATAGCAATAGATGAAAAAAAACATGAGGAAAAGATCAGGATGAAAGATTTTAACAATCAAAATTTGCAAATGGCTTTTGATTCACATGAGGGTTCTTCTTTGCGAAGGATCTTTTTTCTTTTAATTAAGAAAAAAAAAGCTTAATTGATTTTTTTAACAATTGAAATTTGTTCTTTTATGGGATAACAACCATTTCATTGGATTAAATTTATTCCATGATTTTTATTTGTGTAATCTAAAAAAAATA